AATTGTTGAATTTACAGTAATGGTGTACTTTGCAAATTGAAGAGAACCTGTTTTAAGTTCTGAACTTATCTGGGCATGAACCAAAATAAATAAGTAAAGAAAGAAAGGAAGAGAAAGTGAAAGAGAGAAAAGGAGGCAGAAAGAGAGAGGGGAAAAGGGAGAGAGAAAAAGTTTTTCACTAAGAAATAATGGACATCATTTCTAATTTTGCATTTGTTGGAATGAAAATTTTGGATTGTTTTACTATTAGAGCTACCCCACTGCCTCTTTGTATTGAAAGTTCATTTTTGAGTTTAATATGTAACTAAATATTTTTTGTTGTTGTTGTTCATGTAAATAAACATAGTGTTACATCCATCTAGACAATAAATTAAGTCTTTAGATATAACGATTCTGTAGAGGATGTTAAAATAGAGCACACTTTTAGTAATAGATTTTAGTATTGCTACATAATCACTGAATTTAAGGCTTATTGCTATAGGATTACATCCTCTTGAATAATTCAGAACCAAACAATTTTAATTACGTCAATGCTACAATGTTATTTAAAATGATGCAAAAATATGAAAGTTATGAGAACCGGTCAGTCTTCCCTTAAATTTTTATGCATTTTCAGCAGATTAAAATAAAACCACAAATTTGATTGCTTTTAGAGTCATAGTTTGTTCAAATTGCTACCAGAATATCATATCTGTGTCTCATATATTATTAAAAAATCAGTTTTCCCATTAATAGTTCCGGATTTGGGAGGTATCACATCACTTGCCAAATCTGCTTTATTTAGAACAACCTGAAAATATAGTTTTGCTCAAAATTCTCGAGCATTTCTGGAAATAATCAGCTACCAACATATTCAATTGTTTGACCAGAAACAGTCAGTTATTCTTTAGTCCAGAATATCAAGGATAATGTCTTTAAAGTAACAATTTCAAAATGTTTATTTTCAAATAACAAACAATTATATAAATCCCATGTTTTCCAAGAGTCTTTCGGGATTTGACTCATTAACTGTTCAGTTTTGCTACTGCTGCACCTTGCAGTTAACCTTTCACTTGTCCTTAAAGACACTGGGTCTCAGGGTGAGAGACAGGACTAGGTAGGAAAAAAAAAACTATTTTCATGATTTACTCTTTGTGTGTTATGTAGGCAATATTAATCTTTTCAATGAAAATATTTAAATTTATTGAATTATCTATGAAGAATACTGAAATTCAAATTTAATATTGAAATTTTATTACGACTAATATTTAAACTTTGGGTAAATTCTCAGTGTAATAATTTGCTAAGGATGACAGTTTTTAACAATTTATAAAAAATCTCGACAGTAAATCCTGCAAGTGCAGGATAGGGAATGATTCCTCAGAACTGCATTCAAACAGATTTAAGGGGAGAGGGTACCATGAAATGGCTCAAATTATTGATGTGGGGGGCTAAATAAATAGTTGAAACCTTTGTCTTTTCAAATATATTAACACTTTTCTTCTGGAACACCCGGACATCCCATTAATTCTGGTTTAAATGTCCTGGTCCACAGGAGTCATGACCCCTTTTTTGACACTGCATCCAATTATTGGCTGTTTTTTGTAATTTTGTACGCATGTTGGGTTATTAATGAGTTATTGAAACATGCTTTTGTTCATACATTGGTAGCATTGGTCTTTTCCACTGAAGGAGATGATCCAGAATACACAGCAGAAGTGCTTTAGTAAAGCAGGGGCAATTAGCATTTGCTGAAAATGTACTTATTGTGTAATTAATGTTCCTTTTCTCAGAAACTATTGTTCACAGTTTATTAAAATTTACAGGATACATTTTTCATAGTATTGGCTATAAATTGACATTTTCATATAAACATTCTTCGATAATAAAAAATAATGTTTGTCCAAAAATGAAATGAAATTAGAAATGAAAAAATTGGAGGAAAAGTTATAATTAAAAAACATACACTAGTTATTTCTTAATAGACTGAAAAAATGTCAAAATAGTATCAAAAGCTGTTCCTTTAAGTGTGCGAAATATCAAAATTTGATATTTAACCATTTTCTAGAAAAGGTACATCAATAGTAACAAATTTAGCTAACATGGCTAACTAAGTTGTCAACATGGTACTCCCCCCCCCCCCTTAAGATGAAAAAAATAAGACTTGCAGATAATGACAAAGGAAACATTACTATAACGTCCAATACAATCGCTCATTATGCAGAAATAACGTGTCCTAGACCCTCAAAAACCCTAGAGAGCCACAGGTTTTGAGTGGACAAACGAGAGGCAGTAAGCCTTGAGTTATGTTTCTTAAGTAGCATTGAACACAAAGAGACTGATTGGACCTCTATTAAAATGTTGTATTTAGGGGTTTAGCACTTCTGAGGATCCCTACACAAAACTGGATGGTCAGATACAAGCAGTAACTCAAAATCTACATGAAATAAAGTACAAGGAATTGAAGAAAACTGAAATAATACTCCACAATAAAATTAAAGTGATCATTTGAATATCTGTGAAATTTAATCTTAACGCCTAGCATTAGATAAGAAACCTATTCCCATATGTTTAGTTCCACACAGAACTCGGCAATGACGGCTGTAACCCACAATTCAGAGGCTGGCCATTTGATTTGATTTATTTTCATCAAGAAAAACAGTAACAACTGTATTGACTATCTAGGTATGTTTTCTTGAGCTTCGAAGTTGAGATCCAGTATAGAGCTATTTTTGTTTTAAACAATGATTTAGAGAGTGCAAATGTTTGCAGAGGTCCAGCTAATATTTAGGTATTTATTATTATATTAAATATTATTTTATTTGTAAAATATTTATTATTAATATTTAATATATATTAATTATTATTTGGAAATAGAGCATTTAAGGTTTGATTAATGTTGCACTTAATTAATGTAAGTCAAAGGGTATAGGGGAAAAATTGACATAAAATTATGTTTAAGAAAATTGAAGTTTTGGAAAAGTTTGAAGATAACTAAGGGAAGCAACATTATGAATGTTATCACTGCATTCTGTATTCTGAGATTGTAAATAAGTTTCTTAATTCTTTCTGAATTTTAGATTGAACCTTTGATAACAAGTCACACCATTGTAAATGTCCTAGGCAAAATCTCCTAGAATTGATTGTGCATTCTATTAGAATTGGAACTTCTTATTACTTTATCTTTTATTGGATAAAAAGTATTTATGAAAGAAATTTTACACTCTCCATTTATTAGAAAGACTATTCAATGAAGAGAGTAAAATTGCAATACATAAACTTTTCCCTACATAAGGAAACACTTTATTAAAAGTAGTGATTTTCAATTAACACTATCTTTTCCAATGTTCACATTGTGTTAAACAATTCTATTTTTAATTAATTTATTTTATTTTTTTAAGAGGTGAAGATTAAAATTAACTTTGAATTTTGATTTCAATTACACAGTTGAATAATCTACCAATTTTGAACATTTATCTACAGTGATATGCCTATATATAGTTTTTTTTCTTGTAGTAGATATGAGGACATCGTGAATAATGGTGGATAGGTTGGATTTCGGTCAATTAAATAATGATTTTTTTTAGAATGACAATGTTTTCTATAGTTTCTAAAATCATTAGTATTTGCAAAGAACCTTCAACTGTGGTTAATTTTTAATTTAGGTGACTTCTTTTTTCATTTTTTACACCCTATCAGAGACATGAGCAGTGTAAAACAAAAAGGGGTGCGATTACATTTCTAGACTCCTCTGGGCCCATCTTTTCCATTTAACTTTTTTTATGGCATTTTTAATAATATAATGGATTTTATATTAAACATTTACAAAGTTGCCTTTCAGGGCTTCTTCCCCAAATGTTCAATATCCAAAAAGTCAGCTTAAAAGAAATGAAAATCAGGAATTGATCATAACTACACAAATGAAAAGTTTTATTATGTAGGGCTGGGAGACCGTTTTTGAAATATGCAGAGGAACATGGCTCCCTAATTTTTTTTTGGTAAAAGTGAAAGTAAAGAGCACTCCTTCGACATATGCTCATGCCTTCAACATAAATTTAAATTTTCCCATTATATTGGTACCCCAGTTTTCTTCCAAATGTTAATTCAGTTTTTTTCATTATTAATTTTACTGTGTCATTTTTTTATGGTATGTTTTCCATATTAAATTAATCATTAAATTTTTTGTATCACTGACGGCGTCTGCAAATCAGCAGACAAAACATAACTAACCCAGTCTTTTTTATGCTTTTTTTAAAAATGTATTTCTTTTTAATTTTGAATTGAGAATAGAAAGTTAAAATATATACCTATACAAGTCCCATTATAACTACTTTATAAATATACAACTAATATAAATATTTGTAATTAATTCAGTTTGAATAATATTATTCTCATCAGCAATTTCAGGTTACATACGGAGCGTTACTATTAAAAGTTCAGTAGTTTTGGGATTCATCATTGCTGTTCATGACATTTTCTTATCAAATTACTATGATAATTACAGCACTTTCTTGAAAATTATTGTTAGTTTCATTTGAATTAATTCTTATTCTTGAGAGTACCTATTTAGTTTTTGTGGATTTGGAATATTAACAGCAGTAATTGCTGTGACTTGCCGCTTGTATTGTAGAAATACAATTGCCTGCTCCTTAGCATACATTTTAGGATTTAATGTTATTTGAAATATTAGATGAAAAGATCTTGGAATTTAGTTGAATATTTAATTTACTTTATTTTTGACAATTGAATCATTAGAGGATTGAGTATAAGCAACCGCACATAAGGATGGGTGATACTGTCCATCATTTAATGGTAATTTAGAGATTTAATAATCACTCTGGATTGATTTCTTTTCAAAATAACTGGATGCTAATACTATAATATATTTAGAATATACTTGTAAATACACAGATCCATGAGAAGATTAAGTAATTATTTAATGAGTTGTATATAAGGGCCTACTTTATTTAAAAAGTACTAATATTTTGGGCCGAAATATTAGCGAGAGAATTCGTACTTACTCCATCGAATGAATGTTCAGACAATACACCTTCTATCTTGTTATTTAGAGCTGACGGCATATTAAATATCCTTGCCAACTTCGCTTCGCTTCCTTTTTTCCAACTTTTCCCAACGATTTCAAAATTGAGCTACTCGTTAGAAAAGTGCACACAAATCACAGCTGTTCATGAAAACCAATTCTTAAACACAATGATTACATTGGATTGTTCGAGATATGAAATAATCTAGAAATAGATGTGATAAGGCTTATAGTGATTTATGTAACCGTTTTGTTAAATCATGAGTGCAGAGGAAATATCATGCTCTTTATTCCTCCTATCACGTCAAAAACCTTATCTTCTGGCCCTAACCAGGTGTATAGCTCCGATAGTTCCCGTAGCCCCCTTCGTGTAGCCTATGCGCCTTAGCCATAGTCCATGTACTCTCTGGTTCAAACCAGACAAGAGCAGAGAAAAAGCATCTCAAAATAGCCACGAACCACGATGACTTCGGGCTTGTGGACTACGGAACCTGGCAAACCTGGTACACCAGAGAGTACAGACCAGTACAGATATCGGGTCTGCCTTCTTGGACAAAAAAAATAAAATAAAAAATCAAAAGTCAGAAAAAATATCGACAGTGGCGTAGCATGTAGCAGGTTATAGAACTGAGCGCCGTGGCGGGCGCTTTGAACTTTCATTTGTAATTACAATACAATAGTAAAGGTTTACACTTTGAAACTGGAAATGAAAGGGAAATTACAGGAAGAAATGTAGAAATGTTATAGAATAAAAACAATGTTTAAAAAATTTAGAACATATTAGACATAAACAGAGTGGTAAACTAGTGGTGCTAAAACAGCACGTACTTTATCGTCATTACTAATGGTTATGTAATACTACGCCATAATATCTCTCCGAATTATTTTTTGCAAAACTCATTTGAAATCGTAGAACATTTGGTGTGAAAAATAAGCCGAATTTAAAATGAAATAACATAAATATAATAATAATAATAATAATAATAATAATAATAATAATAATAATAATAATAATAATAATAATATGTACAATTGTCACCATTCCGGTCACCTTTTGGACGCCATTATGTTCGGAGAATATATTCCGCAGTCGTAAAGAGGGCAAATTGTGACCATGTTACTGAGCAACAACGCATTTTAATCAATAATTTAAATTTGACCAAATAATTGTTGCCCGGAACGGAAATCGAACCCGGGACTTCTGGTTTACGCCTAGCTGCTCTCTTTCCACTAAGCAATCGAGGCAACGAATATTTTGAACAGCTTTCACGATTATCGCTCCTTGTCTATATATAAAAATGGAAGTCAAGTCAAAAATATCCCGTTCGTACGTCAGAATTGCGTTCTTTAGTGAGTGACAATGTAGTAGATAGGCTTAGAATGCAACGAGTTCGTGCACATCAAACACAACATCAGCAAGCTAGACATAATGAAAATGAGCGAATCCGCAGACGCAGTGCTCCTGTGATTCTTGAACGAGCTACATTCCACTATGATCCGGCAATTGATTATTGTGCCGAAAAATCGGTAACAATTGGGGAAATGAAAATAATTTGTAAATATCGTAAGGCATTAAAATACACTGGTGAATCTACTGGACTATGTTGTGCTGGAGGCAAAGTAAACTTGCCACAATTGCTCCCACCACCAGATCCTTTACGCTTTTTAGTTTCTGGGATTGGAAATTATTCTAAGCACTTCTTGGACAACATTCAGAAATATAACAGCTGTTTCCAGATGACATCATTTGGCGCTACACATATTATATAGGACAATTTCATGCCCACTTTCAAGGTATTATACCTGAATATTTTTTTATAATATTCAAGTTTGTACTAATATGTATATATATATATATATATATATATATATATATATATATATATATATATATATATATATATCGGAAATAATTAATGGACAAATTTTTTAGTGATTTAAAACGTGTATCTGAAACACACAGGATTTATGATGCACTACAATATCCTTTGATCTTCTGGCAGGGGGAAGATGGATATCATTTTAATATCAAAATGGTAAATCAAGTAACAGGTAAATAAATTGAACAAGATTAAAAAATATTTTAAATTCCATTCATCTAAGTGACAATTTAAACATTTCTCATTTTTGATTGCAGGTGCTGAAACCAACAAAAAGTTAGTGCTATGAATTTCTATTCATACAGACTCATGATCCGTCAAGGTGAAGTAAATCATATTTTGATGTGTCAACGACTTTTTCATCAGTTTTCAGTTTACATGTATGTCAAAATTGAGACTGAACGATTGACATACATCCGTTTGAACCAACGACAGCTACGATCAGAGGAATACATTTATCTCCGCGATGCTATAAATGCCGATGGCAATGTGAATAATGAAGGAAGAATGACAATTTTGCCAGCCACTTATATAGGAAGCCCACGCCACATGCATGAATATGCTCAGGATGCTATGTCATATGTTAGGAATTATGGCCGCCCAGACTTATTTGTTACATTCACATGTAACCCAAAATGGTCCGAAATCGAGAGGGAATTACTACATAGCCAAACAGCAGTTGGTAGACATGACATAACTGCGAGAGTTTTTAAACAAAAATTAAAATATCTCATGAATTTCTTAATAAAGCATTGTGTCTATGGCTGAGTTGAATGTACTATGTAGAATGGCAAAAGCGTGGATTGCCACATGCGCACATTTTAGTCTGGTTAGTGGACAAAATAAGGCCAGATGAGATTGATTCCATAATTTCAGCTGAAATTCCAGATGAAATAGTGTACCCAAAATTGCATGCAGTAGTTACCAAACACATGATACATGGACCTTGCGGACTTTTCAACTATAATTCACCCTGTATGGTCGACGGCAAGTGTTCCAAGCGATACTCAAGATACCTGCTTGCTGAAACCATAATTGCAAATGATGGATACCCATTGTATCGTCGGCGATCAGTTGCGGACAATGGGCGATCAGTACTTGTGAAGGTAAGTGGAGGAAATGTTGATGTTGACAATCGTTGGATTGTGCCATACTCGCCAATATTGTCCAAAGCGTTTGAGACACATCAATGTGGAATATTGTAACTCTGTGAAGTCGATAAAGTACATATATAAATATGTAAACAAAAGTAGGGATATGGCTCTCTTCGGTGTAACAAATGCAAATGATGAAATATCACAGTACTAGATGGGTCGCTATGTAAGTAGCAACGAAGCAATTTGGCGTATCTTTTCATTTGCGATCCATGAAAGACATCCTACAGTAGTCCATTTGGCAGTCCATTTAGAATATGGTCAACGAGTTTATTTTAATGAATTTAACGCGGCAGACAAGGTGGCACATCCATCATCGATAACATTAACAAGTTTCTTCACAGTCTGTCAAACTGATAATTTTGCTCTCACTTTGCTGTATACTGACATGCCACCCTATTACACATGGAACGCATAATCGAAATCGTTTCTGCGTCGAAAACAAGGAACACACGTTGAAGGACTACCAAATGTATTTGATTCAGACGTTCTGGGTCGCATCTGCACAGTACATCCAAATAGCGATGAATGTTATTATTTGCGGTTGTTGTTGGTGAATGTTCGTGCTCCGACATCGTTTAAACAACTGAGAATAGTTAATGAACAGCTGTGTGCGACTTACCGTGAGGCATGTCAACTATTACATTTACTTGAGAACGATT